AATATTGAGTTATTAAGGATTTTATACTGGCGAATTTTTAGTTAAGTTTTGTGTAAGTGATTGACGGAAAGAGTTTTAATATTTCTTTAACTCTCCCTTAATTCAAAATCTCTATTTAATTATTTAATCATTTTTATTAATCTTGCATTTGTCTTAATTTAATTATTCTTATTTTATATTTTATTTTACAATTTTACAATTTTTTAAAAATTACAAAATTACAAAATGGACAACAATACTTCGAAAACTCCTCTTAAATGGCGACGGAGGTTAAAAAGGGAATCGGCTATATGACAAAGTGAAGAATAAAGAAAATGATGTAAAAAGCAACGAAGAGAATCAAAAGCACGAACTTCTACACCTAACATTACTTCCACACCTACTGCTTCTTTTTCTCTGTCTTATGAACATCTTAATTCACCTTCTCAGCTTACTAACACTACTTCTATAACTACTACTTCTTTTTCTCTGTCTTATGAAAGTCATCTTTCAGATTCTCAGCCTACTAACACTAATTATTCTACATTTCCTCTACTCCTTTGACAACTTTTGCTTCAATTACCTTTGTCAAATCTTACTTTATCAGTTTCATCAAGTATAGATACTGATATTTTTACCTTCAGACTCACCCAGTAATTCAGTATCAATTCCAAAAGCATGTGTTTATCTATTTAATTCAAGCTAACTTCAACATTACAATTTTGGAAATATAAATATTTTATGCAGCAATTGTGGTGCATTAAAATAGATATATGAAAGATGTGCTGGTACATCTAAATGTTCACTAATTTTTGCTACTTGCTGTACACAGAAGAAAGTTATCCTTTCAAACCTTCAGGAACCAGTTGTAATATTGAAGGCTTATTTAACTGATGATGACACAAAGTCATGTAAATTTCGCCAAAACATCTGAGTTTACAATTCAGCTTTAGCATTTACTTCTTTGAGAGCAATTATTGATGATCATATTACAGAAACTAGGGGCTATATTCTTTTAGCATATATGGTGAAGTATATCATCGAATTAGGTTTTTTCCTTTTCAATCTAATAATAAACATCATTTATTTGCACAGCTATATGTTTTTGATACTGAAAATAAAGCTCAAAATAGACTTAACATTATTTTTTCTTTGGATGAGGCAACTCTTACTAAGCTTCAAACCATGCTTTATACTATTAACTCATATATGCAAGTTTTTTAACAAGTAGGCAGAATACTTTATCAAAATCCATTGCAAACTCTGAAGATAATAATTAAAGATTTTAGAACAACAGATCCACGACACTATAATCTTTCAAATGCTTTAGAAATTGTAGCTATTATAGTTAATGATACTAATAATAAAACTGATATAAGCAATTGCAATATTATATTGCATTCTCAAATTAGAGAAATACAACAAATATCTGAGCTATATAGAGCATATGCTCCTTTGCATTATGTTCTTTTATTTCCTAGAGGTGAATATGGATGGCATCCTAATATACTACTTTGTAATAAAACCAAGCATTCCTTTCCAAATATTTAATATTAACACAAAAACAATACTGAAAATAATTTATTAGATGATGAAAATGCTATTAGAAATCAAAAGCATATTACTATGATGCAGTACTATGCTTATTGACTGCAAATTAGGCAACCTGAAGAAAGTACTATTCTTCACCTTGCTAGACATTACTTTCAACAATATATAGTGGATGCTTATGCTAATGTTGAACAAAACCACTTTAACTTTTTCAAGCTTAATCAAAAAAAAATTTGTGCAGAGCTTTATAGCAATCTTCAAGATACTTTAATTGTTTATGATGAAGCTCCTCAAAATTTAGTAACTACAAATATAGATTGATGAATAATTCTACCTTCAAGTTTTACTGATGAACCATGTCAAATGTAGCAACTTTATCAGAATGCTATAGCTATTGTATGCACAATTGGCAAACCGGATCTGTTTATTACTTTTATATATAATCTAGTATAGCCTGAGATTAGTAATGAGCTTCTCAATGGCCAATGTGCTTCTGATCATTCTGATCTTACCACCAGAGTTTTTAACCTAAAATTAAAAGTTTTTATAGACGATATTCTTAAAAATAATATTTTTGGCTTAGTTTTAGCTTATATTTATATAATTAAATTTCAAAAACGTGGTCTTCTTTACTCACATATTTTTTTGATTCTTGATTCCAATAGTAAACCAAAACTATTAATGATATTGATTCTATTGTGTTAGCAGAAATCCCTGATAAAAATATTCATCCTAAAGCATATAACACAATTCAATGTATGATGATGCATGGTTTTTGTAGTTTATCTTATCCAAATGCCCATGCATAAAAGATGAAACATGCTCAAAATGCTACCCCATGCTTATTGTAGTACTACCATTATAAATAAAGATGGATATCCTGTTTATCACCATAGTAATGATAGAAAGTCAGTTGATGTTAAAGGAGTTCAATTAGATAATCGCTTCGTTGTTCCCTATAACCTTTATTTTGCTACAAAGTATAACACCAATATTAATGTAGAAATATATTCTTCTATTGTGGCAGTCAAATATCTTTTCAAATACATATTTAAGAATCATGATTAAGCCACAGTTAAAATAGAATGATTACAACAAATAGGAACAACATAAAATTTTAATGAAATTAGTCTTTATGTAGATACACACTATGTATCTACTTCTGAAGCTGCATAGAGATTATTTTACTATAAAATGCATAATGAGAAACCCGATATTATGTGACTTTAAGTTCATCTTTCTGGCCAGCACACTGTAATTTATCAAAATAATAATAGTGTAGAAGAAATACTTTCTTGGGAAGAAAATTCTGAACAACTCTTATTGCATAGTTTAAGGTGAACGAAAAATTTCCTGAAACATATACCCTCACTTATAGAGATTTTTCAACACAGTGGGTATATGACAGAAAATGTAGAAAATAGAAACCAAGGCAAAGGTGTAAGACTATTGGGCACATCTATTTTGTACATCCTAGAGCCAATAAACACTACTATCTTCATATATTATTAAATATAGTACATGGTGCAACATCTTTTACTAATCTTAGAACAATCAATTCTATTGAGTATCCAATATTTAAAGATGCTTGTGATGCTTTAGGAATGTTACAAGATAATAACGAATGGGATATGTGTTTAAACAAAGCACAAAATTTAAAATTTGGAATACAAATGCGATATTTATTTGCAATTCTTTTTATATATTGTCATTCTACTTATTCTGAATTATTTTGAAAAAAATATATCACTGCCTTTAGTGATAATATATTGTTTCAATTTCATATTAAAGCTCAAAATAATTCTACCTATTCACTTCATGAAGAAGATATACATAATAAAGTGTTACTTCAATTAGAATCGATTTTGATAAAAATGGAACAAGGTTTAAAAATTTTCATCTATGCCTATTCCTTTACCTTTATGTGCTAATACTCCTCAAATTAACCATCTAATTGCTCAAGAATTACATTATAATATTAATCTTCTTCAAAGTTGAGTTCATGATAATTATCCACGTTTAAACTCAGATCAGTGTTCAATATTTGATAAAGTAATTTTAGCTATAGAAAATTAATCACTAGCACTTTTTTTTGTCAATAGACCCAGCAGCTCAGATAAAAAATTCTTATATAGTGTATTATTAGATAAAGTTCATTCTTCTGGACTTATTGTACTTGCAGTTGCTTTTTCTGGCATTGCAGCTCTTTTGCTTAAAGAAGATTGCACTGCTCATTCCCGTTTTAAACTCCTATTTGATTGAAATGAAGATTCTATCTGTAATATCTTTCATGATACAAAACATACTATTCTATTATAGCAAACAAATCTTATTATTTGAGACAAAGCTCCTATGATGAACTATTACGGAATCAAAGCAGTTGACTAAACTCTCTGAGAATTAATGAAAGCTTTAGATCCTTTATTACAATTTTATCCATTTGGTGGCAAAGTTATCGTGTTTAGAGGGGATTTCCAGCAGATATTATCTGTTAGTTCCTAAAAGAGGTAGAGAAGCTATTGTCAGTTCCTGTTTATTACACTCACATCTTTAGCACAGTATTAAAGTAATGAAGCTGACAATTAACATATGCATACATCAAGTTAATACTACTATTGCTACTACTAAATATCAGAATTTTGCAAATTGGCTTTTGCAAATTGGAGAAGATTGTACAGAATGATTTTCAGAAAAATCCAATTATATAAAACTTCCACTTGATATTTTTTTATTATCTCAAAAAATACGTAATTTAATTGATTTCATTTATCCAAACCTTATATTTACTAACCTTTTACCTTCTTATTTACTAGACTGTTATATTCTCATGCCTAAAAATACCAATGTGTCTTCAATTAACTTTACAATAATGCATTTATATCCAGGTAATGAAGTTGAATATTTTAGCACAGATAGCATTGATTTCACAATCACCCAAACTGATGCAATCCTTTACCCAATTGAGTTTTTAAATTTACTAAATCTAAGCAGATTATCTCCATACAAATTATCACTTAAAAAAGGGTCTTCTGTTATTTTACTTTGTAATATTAATCCATCAGAAGGGCTTTGTAATAGAACATATTTAATTTGCTGTGCTTTTTTGCTTCATATAATTGAAGTTTAGGTCCTTACTAAAAAACATACAGGAAATCGCACATTTCTTCCTCACATTTCACTCACTCCCTCCAACTTAACTTTACCTTTTGCTTTTACACAATAATAATTTCCTATACAACTAGCATTTGCTATGACTATTAATAAAGCACAAGGCTAAACTTTAAACTACGTCAGTGTTTATTTACCTACACCTGTATTTTTACATGGCCAACTTTATGTTGCATGCTCCAGATCAACATCACAACAATCTCTTAAAATTCTATTATCTGGCCAACACTCTGAAGAAGGTTTCATCTAAAATAAGAATAATTAAATTAAGACAAATGCA